ATGGCTGTGATACTAGATAGATACATATGATATATACACATTCACACACACACATTTTAGGACTTCTGAACCACTATAGCAGGTGTTACCTGAAAAATATCAGAGATTCACAGAGAAGCAAGAGCAGGGCCTTCAGAAAGTCCCTGGACAACCACATTCCTTCAGTGACGTGGTGCTTTTCGTGCTTCCCCATCCTACCTGTTACTTTTATACACAGGTTTGTTCCAAAGTTTGGGGAAAAAAGTATTTTTTTTATTTTACTTTTTAAAAAATTTTTCTTTACAAAAACCATATTTTTCTCTGTGTATGTAGTTCTCGGATACACCTCTCTGTATACATATATTCAAAAGGATGACAGTGCAGATCTTTAAAAATAACTGCAATCAAGAATAAAAAATCTCTTAACACCAAGTTAAGTTTGCTTACCAGCAATGTATGCACTTCCCAGAGCTGCTAGCTCATGAAACCAAGACTTTAAAAATTTTCTGAAGTCAGCTTTGACTCAGTTGCTCTGAAAGCTGTAATGGGTCATACAGTGGAAAAACAGAGGTAGGTATCTAAATTTGCATTTATTACACAAACTGTTTTGAAACTTTCTCCTTTGTGGGCCACAAACATTGAGTCAGGATCTGTGACTGGGTTCCCAGATAAGAACTATCTCCCTCTTGCATGCCACATCAGCTGGGGGTCTCCTCATTTTGTGGTGCTTACTATCCTGCTCCAAGCAAAGCTGGAGGGATACAGCAGGGAAAAAGCCCATAACAAGGCAATACGCCTATACCTTTTTTTTTGCCCCCCAGACTTCTGCCAGCAGCAGAGATGAGACTCGCTGACTGGCTGCAGCTCACATTCAGCAGTGATACTATGCCTCCCGAAGTCCCCCTAACTACATGAACAATTAAAAGTATGTGTGTTCCTCCTCCCACCCTCACAACACCCACATTAACAGGGACAGCAAAATCCAGACAAAGCAGGATTTTTAATACTAAAAATGGTTTCAATGTATTCTAATCAATAAAATAACTCTTCAACAGAAGGAAAATAGAAGTTCTAATGAGAGAACTGAAGCAAAAAGAGAAAAGCAGTAACAAGCAAGAGGACCAGATAGAATTTTACATAGCTTAAAAAGGAGGCAAGGAAACACAAGCTGATAGCTCAGAAGAGGTGTTGAGAAATAATTTACTTTTAAAAGATTTTATTATTATTGATACCAGGTCCTGAGCCTGGAAGCTGCTGGAGAACTCCAGAACCACCTCGTAGCAAAGAATAAACACACAAACCAGAGACCTCAGGATAGCCTATCCTTTAAGAGGAGAGTAAAAATAAAAAAATAAATCATTGGTTCCTGCTACAAAAATCCTACTTTATTCAAGGAAGGCTAACCTTTAGGTGAATTCTTTGCTAAGGAAGGGAAGAATATCCTGCAAGGAACAAACATGAGTAAGCAAGAATCCACCTACTAGCATGCTAGGAGGAAAGCTGAAGAAGAGATTCCCCATGATCACCTTGGAGATCTTTTCTGATCCACAAGAAAGATCTTCGACATAAGTCATCAGCAAATTAAATGGTGCAAGTAAGAAATTCCGATTTATGGAAGATAGCCCATCTTTTATTGGCAGTTTAATGGCCTGCATCTCAGTAAAAGGGAAATGAAACTACAGGAGACCACGCAGCCAGCAGTCAGAAACATATTTTTAAAAAAGCAAGGTGCTCACTTGTCAATTTGGTTTAAAAAAAAAGATGACAAAGTTGCAAAATATCTGCCAAACAGAAGTCTTTTTAAACTACAGAGGTAAAAAAACACCAAAAATAAGCAACTTATCTTGTCTCAGTAGGAACTAACTGTATTGGGTACTAACGAAGCTAGAAGAATTGGATACATGGCTGGACAGATCAACAGTTACCTTATTTAGAAAGAAGTAACTGAACCCTAAGACAAGGAGGAGGGAACTGGCATTATCAAAAATAACATTAACCATTTCAGTTGTCAAAGGTCTCCTTTGACATTATTATCCCACATGCTCAGAGACTGACGTGTTATCAGATAAAGCTACTGCAGTCTATACAGGTACATGCTATACCACACAGAAATCATAACAGAGGGCAAGAAGCCTGACTTCTCAAGTGCCCATATAAAATACTGGAGGAAGCTCTGTTAGCATTATGCCAGCCTGCATGACATTCACTGTATCTCAGACCTCTAACAGTAAAATTAATCTCTGAAGTTTCTAGTCAACTGTTTCTTGAACTTACCGTTAAAATCCAAGCAAGTCTACCCAGTTTCATCTGACAAAGAAAAACTTTCACAGAACTCTGCACCAATTAAGATATAATCACTTAAAATCACATAGGAATACACAACTTTCCAGTGAAATAGCAGTGACTGTAAAACTGGCTACTTTTAAAAGTGAAGGACAACTGTAAATCAAACCAGATGTCAAACAAGCTGGAAAGAAAACTAAGTTATATATTAACAATTTAATTTGATTCACAGAAGCCATGGGGCATTCAACAAAATAGTCAGGGTTACAGAAAGTAAAGGTAACCCGATGGAAAAAAGAGGGGAAAAAGTTAGTTGCAAAGAACAGAAATCTGTGAGAAGCAAGCAACCAAAAGAAGAACTCAGAAATCCATGGTCAAAAAGTTAGGGACAGCAGGAAAATGTGGAATCCAGTAACAGTATTCAACCGTTCTTCAAGCAGCGAAGATGGACAAAGCATTCAATATGTTTGTTCCAAATTTGTCATGAAAGCCTGCTTATATAGACAAAATAGTACGACAGTTCATATGAATTTAAGAAACAAGGCATGTAATTCAGTAATTATTAATCAAACTACATAATGTCAAATCAGTTGCTTAAATTTCAGTTTTAGTGTTGCAATAGTACCTTGATGAATGAACTTTTCAAAAGGTAGCCAGTCCCACATCTCACTTTGCCTAATGAATTCTAATGCAAAATTAACATGAAGTATGCTGTGAACCGGTTCAATAACAAATCTCACAACATAACTACAAAGTCACTCAATAGATACATTTGTCACAGAGTGCTGCAGGAATCACTCTGGCCCTGCACAGCATTTTATCAATAACTTGGATGAAAACATAAGTCTTTGAAAATATAAAAGATTTGAGATGGGATGTAGAAGAGAAGAGTTGGAAGGAAAAGTAAGTTGCTAACACAATGAAACAGAATTGTTTCTCACACTCAATACAGATAAAACGTCTGAAAATACTGTAAAAAAAGACAGTGCACATTCAGAACAGGAAATATATCACAAAAAACAATCTTGGGAAGAAGAATGTCAAATCATGACTGAAATGGAACAGTTTTATAAAAAAGCAGCAAGAATTCTACGGGAAGCTTCATGGTGCCATCTAGAGGAGACTGGTCAGCAGCGGTGCTAATCCTGGTTTTGATAGCCAGCTTCAATTAACAGTCAAGTCAAAAAGCGAGTATTAAATTTCAATACACAAAGATATAATCAAATCCAATACCTCCGGACCAAAACCACAAGTCCCTTAACTTTAATGAACATATCTTTTGGATTTTTCTTCTTGTTCTCTCACTTACCTAAGTCTGTAAGAGAAAAGAACTTCAAGACAGTATTAGGAAAAACAGTCCTGAGAAGCTCTGTTCAAACTCCACATCTAATTTTTTGTGAAAATTTTCCTAAGATAAATGATAATACAAAGCATTCAATATATTATAGCCTAAAGAGAAATAGACTTCAGTGACAAGAAGTTACAAACATGGAGAGCTTTCATAAAGCTTGAAAATTCAGTATTTCAGTTACTATAGACTAAAGGTTATAACTGTTGGACCTCAGATATTTCACTGTTCGCTCACTTTGTCTTCTTTCTGTATTTATTTGTTCTCAGTAAAAATAAATGGAAATGCATGCAACAAATATTGCTAAGGAAACAACAACCTTGTTAGCTTTAATGTAACTCAGGCTCTGCTTAAACTCCATTTAGCAGGACAAAGCCATCTGACATTTAAGCCTACAGCTTAACTGAGAAAGCCAATCATCAGCCAATCTCTGTATTTGACTCAGTTTTACACTGTTATACTGTAACTTCTACTCCGCTAAATGCTTTACACAGTCTTAAAGGACCTTAGCACTGAAAGTAAAATAAACTTGCAGGAGTGTGTTAAAATAGGCTTAATGATCTGTTAATAAGAAAGCATTAGGACATCCTAGGTTTACAGTCAGGAAGACTCTAAAGGTCTATTACTGCTTTTTGTTGTCCACTGAAAAGAAGGTGAAAGACCTGTAAGTTTTAAAACTTTTAGTGCTTTGTGTAGCCCAAGAGTAACTGCAACTAAGGTCTACACCAGAACAAAATGAAGCAGAAAAAATTAAATGTGTCAGTATGTACAGGTAGCATTTAAAAGAAACACAATACTCTTCAAATCCTCAAAGCTGGATCAACCTGTTAACAACAGAGTCCTAAATGCGGTGATGAAAGCAGCTCCTTCTTCAAAAAACTGATAAAAAATGGCTGTTTGTAAGTGGGATGAAGGTCAACTTCAGTACTCAATGACATCACCTCCTGCCACAATTGAGTGTAGGAAAGAAGCATCTACATCTACAGAAGCAGAAAACAGTATGAACACTAATAGAATTCTATACACAAGTGAAAGTTTCACTGCGGAGGCAGTGCACGAAGTTTGACAGAGGTACTGCCACAAGTATTCTGAGAAATAGCTTTACTATCTGAGTGGGAAATTAAGCAAAGTGACCTGATTTATCTAAGGCAACGTTAAGTCAGGAACAGAAGTCTATGTGCCACTAGACAACAGCAGATTGCCACATGAGGTAGGCTGTAAGATGGAGATGTAAGCTCACTCTCATCCTGTTTTGGAAGGTCACTAACTGTGACTGTCAGGCACTTGCCAAATCTGCCAACACACTTTTCCAGTTACAAATGTACAAAGAGCACACACTTTAGTGGGAAGACTTGCAATGCCATCAGTCATATCTGCGTACAGCACTTACATTCATCCAGTCCCAGCTGATAAGCCAGGTTCTGCAGGCCACGAACTTTTTCCATCAGATTAGCTGTAGTGAGGCTCCCCAACTCTAAGAAGAGAGAAAAGTGTGAATTTTAACACTATATATGTGACCCTCTAGTCACAGTTTACCTGTTTACTACTTCACAGAGCACTTTCAAGTCGTACTTCTGACAAGATCTATTTCCAGTGAACAGAGTACGTTCAAAATTCAAGCTGATGCCACCCCTAATTTTAACATACTGAGAAAAAACCAGCTTTCTCTACTGAAAAAGACAGCCACATATCTGGTTCATACTGTAATCTCTGCCACCATTGCAGTGAGCAACTTGCCCCGTATTTTGGAAGTTCTTGTAGGTTCACATTGCTACGTCAACAAGCCATTAAAGAGTATGCAAGGGAACGGACTTATTATACATTAATAATGTGTGCTTAAGCACATTTCTTGCAGCAAGTCGAAGTTAATTTGTCCGACTTTCACTTTGAAACAGTTTATCTGGAGTTCACATGAGAGGCAGAGCACGCTCAAGGATGTTTATTGCAAACTAATAGCTGTAATACGCAGCAAACCGACATGCTAGCTAGCCCTTCTGCAACTTGTTCATACAGCCTTACCGTTCAATTAGAGATTTTGGATCTATGAGTGAAGACACAAGCACAGAGCACCTCTGAGCAAGTCAATCAACAAGTCTAAGCTGCTCACCACGTTTGATCAGCTGAGGCCCACCGAAAAATTCATGCCACTTCTCAAAATACAAGAGACACCCACTATACTTATGCAATGAGAGATTGGCAAGCGAGGTAACTGAAATATATGTAACATTACTGCTTCAACTAGTACTTGCATGCTTGTTTTGAAAAAACAGCCTGCCACTGACATCTGGATATTCTCTTGGAGATAACTGAATTAACGAAAAATGTGTATCATTAACTAGAATAACAGATTCCTGAGCTGGAGATTCTGCAAATGTGATGAGGGCTAGAGGCCACAGGGCCACCTCCAGAACATTTAAAGAACAAGTGTTTTAAGCCTCTTAAGTAAGTATTGAATTCCCATCTGCTTTGGCAACCTTACTTTCTACCCACAAAGTCCACACTCACCCTTTAACATGTCGATATCATCATTTTCTAATTCAGCCATCCACTTGGGAGGAGAATTTGTAATAGGCTGTTTTGAAAAAAATAAAAGTTCATATTCAGACAAGTGCAGTTTTAGAATTATACAGAGGAGTCTGATCCCATATTGAAAACTAGTTACACTGACAGCAAAAATATGAGAGTTCCAGGTGCTCCGTAGAGACATTTTTATGTTCAGTCTTGTTTTCTAGCTTGAATTTTTTAGAGTTAAAAACAGTACACTACCACCCACAAGCCAAAGTCAGTATGAAAAGCTGGATTTCCTAAAGTTTAAAACCTTTTACTTCTTCCAAGGTGTAATTCTCATTCACAGTAAGTTGCATAAGGTATAAAAAAAAAATACAAAAGAGATACTAAAAACAAAATTATACTGACGTTATAATTGAGATACACTTTATAGAACAAAGATGTAAAGCCCACAAGAAACAGCAGATCCACCACCACGCGGGAAGGGGGGAAACGCGAAGGCAAAGGAGCGCCCACTCACGCTTTTGAAGGAGGCGGCGAACTCGGCAACCCCGGGCACTGGGAAGAGAAAACGAAGGGCAGCGGGGGGTGAGCGCCGCTGGCGGCAGCGCCCCTACCCCAACCCCGCCCTGCCCGGCCCC